ATTACGCAATAATATTAAATATAAATACATAAATTAATCTAAAAAATGAATCATCAATTTGTAACTTTGAACAAACATGTTTAACTAATTTTAAATGACTATTGTGATACCATATTTTGTGTTTTTAGTATTCATTAACCTGGATATCTAACCGCTATGCGAGCCGACTAATCTTGTTTTACGGGTTCCCAGAGTTATCGTATTTAAACATTCGTGGTCATAAAAAGATTTTTATTCCTCATTGGATTTGAACTTGGGACCTATAGACATTTTTGAACTTTGGAACTCAATCTCGGACACCATTTTTCATTTCACAATTTTGGTGTTCTCATGAGAAGCAAAAAATAGTCCAAAAACCATAAGGAGTTAAATAAAAGTTATCCTTTTTTTTCAAAATAATAAAAATATAAAGTATTAATTAAATGATAATTTTACCTTTAAAGTTAGAATTTGGACATTTATTGTTGGGATGAAATAAAATAGAAACGTGGACACTTATTTTGGTAAAAAATGATTTTAAATTTAAAAAATTTCCAAAAAAGAAAAAAAACGTATTTATTTGAAATAAAAATAATTGCATTTCTTTGGGGACGATGAACATGAAACATATTCATCCCACCCGCCAAGATAACCATTGAAATGATTTTGAATTCTAAATTGAAGAGGAAATTTTTTTTGACCGTTTGACGAGTTTCACGTTTCTTACATTATATATACAAGCAACAAACATGTTCCATCGTCACAATACACACATCTTTACTCTCTCTCGATCTGATCTCCAAGATTTTCTTGAAAGTGGTGGGGAAAATGTCTGAGAATGGATCAGAAGGAACCCAAAATCAGATACAATCTCCAAGAAAATTGGATCGAGTTGAAGAAGAAATGAAACAAATATTTGGATCAAGTCCATCTCAGTCGCAATCTGACCACAGGTTTGTGTGTTTTAGGGTTTGTGTGGTTTTTTATACAATTTTGAATGGATTATGATTAGGGATTCCTTTTTTCTTGCAATTTATCATCTGGGTTTTCATTATTTCTGATCTTGATGGTGCATGTATCCACAAAAATTTGTGATGGTGGCAGCGGCGGGGACGCAGTTGAAGACGATGGCAAAACGACGCCAACTGTGGTAGAAGCTGGTGGTGGTAGCAAAGACGGAGGTGAGACGGATGGTGATGGCGGTTGTAGTGACACTGAAACTGGTGTTGTTGGAGGTGCTGCTGATGGTGGAGATGAAACCGCAGTGGATGGTGATGGTGATGGCAGCGAAAGTGAACCAGTTGATGGTTATGGGGTTTGCAGGCGAACTTTAACCGGTGGTGGAGGTGGTTCCGGTAGCATAGGCGAGAGCCCAGCTGATGGTGGTGTTGCTGGAGGGGAAACTGCATCGGTGGTTGTTGGTGGCGGTGGTGTTGCTATCATTGAAACTGCGCCGGCACCGATTGTTGGTGGCAGTGGTGTTACTGGCATTGAAACTGCACCTGCGATTGTTAGTGGCAGTGGTGTTGCTGACATTGAAACTGCACCGGTGACTGTTGGTGGCGGTGGTGTTGCTGGCAATGAAACTGCACCGTTGATTGTTGGTGGTGGTGTTACTGGTATAGTAACTGCACCGTTGATTGTTGGTAGTGGTGGTGGTGTAGTTGGCACTGAAACTGCTCCGGCGATTGTTGCTGGCTCTCAAAATGCACTGAGGATTGTTGGTGGTGGTGTAGTGGGCACTGAAACTGCACCGGCGATTGTTGCTGGCACTCAAAATGCACTGAGAATTGTTGGTGGTGGTGGTCTTGCTGGCATTGAAATTGCACTGACTATTGTTGGTGATGGTTTTGCTGGCATTGAAACTGCACCGACGATTGTGGGTGGTGGTGTTGCTGGCATTGAAACTGCAAGGACGATGATTGGTGGTGGTGGTTTTGCTGGCATTGAAACTGCACCGGCGATAATTGGTGGTGGTGGTGGTTTTGCTGGCATTGAAACTGCACCATCGATTGTTGGTGGTAGCGGAGGCGGCAGTTATGGCGGTAGCAGCTTCATAACACCAGGCTCTGTCGTAGGTGGCAGAAACAGCTCCGATGGCTTTGCTTTTGATCTTAATGTCGAGCATAACATTGATTCTGATGATGAAACTGATGATCAGAAACAAGTTCTTAACCAGGCTGCGGTGGAAATCAGTGACGGTCGTGAGGTCAGCCGGGATGCGGCTCCGATTGGTGTTGCTGCTGATGGTGGTTGGGTGGTTCCCGACGGAGATGGTGTTGATGAAGAAGAAGGAGAACCATCAAGAAAGAGGATTAGATACAGTCATGATGGTGGTGAACCGCCGGTGGAACAACAAAACTATGATCTCCGGTTGTTTGGCATCGGCATATCTAGCCACAAAAAAGAACCTTACGGTCCAAATGACTCGGCCGGAAGTAGCTTCAACACGGCGACTCCTGGTGGCTGTTTGGTAGCAGGTTGTTCCGGTGGTGGTTTCCCACCAATTAATCCGCCATCTGATGAGATAGGTTTACGGCTGTTTGGTATGGACATTTCGTCTACAGAAAGGGAACTGATGGCTGCATTATTTAGAGCCAACAATGGTGGTGATGATGGTGGTGGTGGTGGTGATGATAATGATGATGGTGATGGTGGTGAACAACAAACCCAACAGCCGGTGTCTGGAATTCGGCTTTTTGGATGTGATATTTAGGGTTAGTCTTGGATGTTACATGGACCAAATGCTATATCACATGATAACCCATATGTTATTTTGCTCCAAAATAAATAAGATTCTGAATTATGAAAATTTTCACTTATTTCAAAGGCATATATATATATATATATATATATATATATATATATATATATTGATTAATACTATGTATGATTTATCTGTTATAAAGTTGAAACCTGCGATCTTAATATTTCTTGAAATGAGATTTGTTTTAACGACGAATGTTTTCGACATTTTTATGCAACCAATTAACCAGATGAGGATGTGATTAAAGATGGTAAAGTTAATTACGTAGCTGTAAGAAGCAYAAGTAAAAGAAACGAATGATTACAATGCAAGTTTTGGATGAAACTAAAACACTTAACAATGATTTTAAGGATACGCTATTGTTTAATTTTCGACATTTTAGTTTATTTCCAAGTCTTTTCAAATTTTCTAAATCGGTTTTTCCAACTTAAACTTAATTCCAAAGGCATATATATATATATATATATATATATATATATATATAGTTCTTGATCTAAATTATGTATCAACTTATCAGTATCGTGTTCTCTGACACCTCAAAGATTTTTTAGTCGTGGAGTTAAAACCTACGATCTTAATTTTCTCAATTGAAACCAAACCCTAGATTTACCGTAACGACTCATGTTCTTATCGTCCTGTTGCAATCAATAAACGAGGTGATCACGGTTCAATTAAAGATGGTAAAAAGTTAAATAGCCGAAAAGTGTAAGTAAAAGAAATCAATGATTACAATGCGAGATTTTGATGAAACTAAAACGTATAATCAAATCTTAATGATAAGTTAAAGTCTACGGTCTTATTTCTCTTGAAACCAAAACCCTAGATTTACCCTAATGACCCGAGAAGTATAATTAGAAGAAAATAATGAATACAAACCCTAAGATTTTATAAAACCATAACACTTATATAACACGATGAATTTAAGGATAGATCATTGTTTCTCTTTCAACATTTTAGTTTTTTTCTAAGCCTTTTTCAGGCTATATATCATAGAATTTAAAGAAACTGATTTCTAATTATAACGTATTTTTTCATATTTTAAAATTCAATATTATCAAAAAATTAATTCTTTGAAACTTAATAACCGATTATTACGCAGAGTTATGAGCAAAAAGTCAATTATTTAAACTTACACTACAACAAAATCGGGTTTATAAGATGTTCTCAATTTCTAAGCGTCTTATATAAACCTTTATAAAACTTAGTTTATAGAACCAAAAAATGTGATGTTTATTTGTTATTTTTACTGGTCGGAAATAGATAAAAGTTAATATTTCATCAAGATCGAAACCTTATTGTTCTTTCAATCTTCATAATTCAAGATTTCATCAATAGTTCTGCGGTTACTATACATGTACACTTTGCTTTAATAAACCCTAGCCACCCCGAGCTTGTTTTGTGTGTATGATATTGTCAATCGTGTTCATGGTTAAGCGTCTTTTTTAAACTCGAACTGCATTTCAATAATTTACGTGTAAATGACAATCCCATTAATAATGTACTGACTTTTCTATGTTTATGCATCTGTATTTGGAAAATTAGGGTTTTTATTCTAATTCCGGAAGTATTTGATGCCTATTTGCATTGAAATCTGATCTACAATGTGATCTTGTGAGTACAAACCCTCAATATTCGTACCAACGCAATCTAAACTCGACCAAATATGAGAGAGAGAGAGAGAGAATGTGTGTATGAACATTTCATTACTTATTGGATGTCATACATGAGCACGACAAGTCTTAGGGGCCGTTTACCAAACGTTTATCCGGGTAAGTGCTTACCAAGTAACATTACCTCACTGCATAAATATGGTAATTAAAGACCAAGAATCTTACCCGGAAAGAGCAAGACAAGGACCAAGAGTCTTACCTGGTAAGTGTGGGCGACGACTCTTACCACGGTAAGCGCTTACCGAGTAAATTGTTGCATACGATGTCGTTTTGGTAAACTAAAATCTTACCCGGTAAGTAAACAATAGTGTTAGATTTTACCGGTAAGCACTTATATATCGGGTAAGTGTTTGGTAAACGCCCCCTTAATTAATTTTTTTGTGCCTAGATGATAATTTTAACAAATGCCTTAATTAAAAAAACAAACTAGGCATCGTCATGAAGTTCATGTTGATTTTAAATAAAATGATACAATCTGAGGACATAAACGAGAACTTCAATAACAAAACATGAACGTAGGATAAAAAGATATTCAGTAACAACGTTAGCTAATTCTTCATCGTTTTTTCAACAATGTCATTAGATCATGACACACGTCTCTCGAGCTATTTGATACTTCCAAATAAATGATCCATTAGTGCTCCTAAAATTTGTACTTGTTTAAGGGGTCGTTTACCAAACACTTATCCGGTAAGTGTTTAACGGTAAACTTAACACTATCATTTACTTACCGAATAAAATTTTAGTCCACCAAAACGGTATCTTATATATGCAACAATTTACCCGGTAAGCGTTGAACATGGTAAGAGTCGTCGCCCTCACTTATCGGGTAAGACTCTTGATCATTGTCTCGTTTTTACCGGGTAAGATTTTTAATCCTTATCATATTCATCTAGTAAGGTAAAATGACTTGGTATTCACTTACCCAAATAAGCGTTTGGTAAAAAAAAAACTTATTTTTATCATTACTTAATATGGAAAATTATATTACTCAATTAATTAATAGATTTTATTGAATATAGTTTTAATTAATAAGTTTTAAAAACACAAGGTTAAATATTCTTCAATAATTTAATCATGTGACGATCGGGGGTTTATCGATTATAAAGTTTGAGATTGCTTTTGAATATTATGTTTAAAATATTCTACCACTCTTTTAAAAAGAATTATATGTGGGGTTTGTGAGATATTTTGGTTATCTGATTTTAGAAAGAAAAAGAAGTCGTCTTTTATGAGTGTGTTTTGAGTTCAAACAAACAGAACCGAAGGGAAGAAAGAAGTTGAATTTTGTGATTCTCGACTGAATAATTTGCAATTGTTTATCTTCTTTGCTTTGTGAACTTAAGTGAGGTTTATCTTAAAAGCTTTCATTTGGTAGTGTTAAAATAGAACTGTATGGTTCTATATGTGGGGTGTTTTGAAACTGTTATTATATTATTTTTAGCATATATTTTGTACTATGGTATGTTAATATCAAATGGTTGGATTAAATGTGACATAATCAGGGGATGTGTATTTTGGGATAAGGGTGGCATAATCACAAAAGGTGTATTTTGGGATAAGGATGTTATAATCAGTAAATGTGTATTTTTGGATAGGGTGAAATAATCAAAAAAGGTGTATTATGAGATAAGGGTGGCATAATCAAATGTATGTTAAAACTAGATTTTTGATCATGAAACTGTTTATCGCATACTTTGAATGCGGTGAGTTTAGTTTGTCGCATCTTTATGATGTGAGAACGGTGTTTGTCGCATCTTTGTGATGCGAAAAGGGTGTTTGTCGCATCCTTGGGATGCGACAAGTTAAGTTATCACATCCTATTAATGCAACAGGAGGTATTTATCGCATGTGTTGGATGCGATGAGATGGGTTATCATATCTGTGTGATGCAAGGAAATAGAGTTGTCTCATCCTTGTGATGCGAGAAAATTGTGGTTTTATCAATATGATGCGACAAGTTTATGTGTAATGCGATAAATGGGTTACTTTATTGTTTGATGTAATAAGTGGGTGTTGTCTCATCATCTTGATGCAACAAAAAGAGGTTTGTTCGATAAAACATTGTTTATTTGTTATTAATACAAACATGGGTTTTATAAAAGTGTTTTGGTGATTTTCACCCTGTAATAGCAATCAAAAATGGATTTCTTACTAGACCTTAAGGTCTAAATCTCATTTTGGTGTTTTAAAATGTACATTACAGGTCGGGTACAATCGGAAGATAAAGGAAAGGAAAATTATGAAGAAAAGTTATGATTGTTTGCATGTGGATCTTCGGGATGATGTCATGTTATCTCTACTTGAGAACTTGTTATGTTTACAACTCTTGTACTAAGATTATATGAAAACCAATAAAACCATAGGGACCAGAAATGTAATTTACTTTTTTCGTTTTTATAACAGATTTGGTTTCTCCCTCAATTTTCATTTTTACAATTTGGTCCCGCTTTTAATCAATAAAATTTGATGGCACAAACATATATCTTCTAAATATAATGAACAAAGAATTAAATAAATTTGAAGGTTATATTTTACTAGAAGAGTACTCGTGCAATGCAGCGAGACAAATCTCGATTTTAATGTTCTATTTTATTATTTGTCTTTGTCGATGTTATAATATGATTTTATGTGTTTTTAATAAAGCAATAATGATTTTATTTTTGAATAAAATATAAATTTGAAGATATCATAAAAATTTGAAAAATAATATATCAATGTTAATATCAAATAAACTATTTAAAAGTTCTATTTTTTATGTAATTTCTTTAATTTATTTTTTTAATTTAAGTTTAATAACGAAATAATTAATTTTTGGTTTAATAATATAACATTTTATAAAGATAATAATTAAGTATTCTGTTAGAACTCAATAGTTATCCTAATTATATTTTAGATTTTATATATTTAAAATGAAATGTTTATCATGTATTTGATTATATTTATCTGCAGTTAGTTACACGAATTCAGATATGGAGTTTTAATAAGTTGTACTTACGCACAATCTACTTGTAATCTTGAGTTTTAAGTAATATGCATTAATAAACAGTATTTTACGCATAAAAAGTGGTTTTTAAAAGTTTTTGTCAAATGCTTCATAATGTAGTATAGATAATATTATATACGGCAAACAAAACAAATAAACTTATATACGCCAAATAAAACAAATTATGCCATAATTAAAAAAATTATGATTAGTTAAAATGAAGTTTTCACGGTTTGTACTAATGGTTTGGTTTGCATTTTATACCTCCCCTATACTTACATACATACATACATATATATATATATATATGTGTGTGTGTGTGTGTGTTTATGCCACCAAATTTTCCTGATTAAAGAAATGACCAAATCCTAAACTTGAAAGTTGAGAGACGGATCAAATCTGTTATAAAAATGAAAAGTAGTACAAGGGAGTAAATCTATTATAAACTGAAAAATAGTTTGAGGAACCAAATACAGTATTGAAAATGAAAGTTGAAAGAGAGAAAAGGTGAATAGACAAAAATGTCCCTCAATAACAAAAAACTTAACTAAAGGAGTTAGTAGGAGGGACCATATTCGTTATGAAAATGAAACTATATGAATTTCATAAAAAATATTAATAATATTAAATTTAATTAAAATAATAAGAAGTAATAAAAACAAAAATAAAAAATAGACAAACAAATGTGCTATTAATAGAAGATTTATGAAGATTTTTTGTTGTTAAAAAGACTAAAAACAACAAAGTTAGCTATTTTTTGGTTTTTAATATAAGATATTTGAAAGATAATGACAAATACGTTAGAAATTAAGTATTTTTTTTATCTATACTATATTATAAAATATTTGATAAAAACTCTTGAAAACCATTTTTTATGCATGAAGTAATGCATATTACTTAAAATTTAAGATTACAAGTAAATTGTGTGTAAGTACAACTTATTAAAGCTTCATTTTTGAATTCGTATAACCAACTACAGTTAAGCATAATCGAATACAAAATAAACATCTCATTTTAATTAATATAAAAAATCTAAAATATAATTAGGATAATCATTAAGTTTAAACAGAATCATTATTTTTATAAAAAATTATTTGTCAAGCCAAAAATAAATTATTTCACTATTTGACTTGAATTAAATTAAAGAAAATTGTACAAAAAAACAAGAATTTTTAAATAGTCAATTTGATATTAATATCGATATATTTTTTAAAATTTTTATGATGTCTTCAAATTTATTTTTATTCATAAATAAAAACATTATCTTTGTCAAAACCACATGACAAAAAATAAAACGAAACATTAAAATGAAGATGCATCTCGCTGTATTGTGCGAGTACCCTTCTATTATTAACAAAACGTCTTCGATAAATTATGTAAAGTTTAATTAAAATAAAAAATCGAAATTAAAAAAATATAAAAACAATTACATTAAAGTATAACGGTTTCTTCATTTTGAAAATTACTACATTGATTACATTATTAAAATATTTCATACATTTAATATAATATTATTTCTCTTTCCTAAAATTTAATAAAATATTATTTCTTTATTAAACATTTAATTTTCAGAATATCTTTTTAATAGAATTATAATAATAAAAAAACTATTTCTCTAATTCTCTTTAATGATAATATTTTTGGGAAGTTCTTTAAATTTGAAGAATTTCACTCTATCTACTACTTTTTCTATTCTAAAAAGATAGTTTAAAAAATCTGTTCAAACAAAACAAAAAATTCAAAGTATTTACTTTATAGAATATGTTAGAGATAATAACAGTAACAGTAAAGGTTGAAATTGAAAAAGAAAAGACCACACATGTTTTTTGCATCTCATTTTTTTATTAACAAAATGGTAATATTGTTTTTAATAATAAAGAAATAAATATGTTTTATATGATAAAAAAATATGCACATACTTTAAAGATAAATACTTATTTTGTAAAAAATTAAATATAAATAAATACAACAAAAGGTTGGCATCCAAATAGCAAGAAAGATCGCTTTAAACATCACATGTTTTAGGAGTGGTTGGGATTGCTTATTTTATGTATTTTTTGATTTATTTCAGTCTGGTATCGGTGATAAACTAAATGCTAGTATTTGAATGAGAAAAAATAAAACTGCTTATACTTGTACCATACCGGTAATAAGCAGTTTTTGATAAGTTAATCATTCCTGACTTATGAAAAACTGTTTATTACTTGTTTATCATTTTAACCCTATTTTATTAATGTTTGTTAATTATTAATCTTATTGATATAAATTTTTGTCAATAATATGGAAGACTGTTTTTTTGATCATTTTACATATATAAGCAAAATTTGTCAAACACTAAAAAACAACTTATCAGTTTATTGTTTTTTGGTACCGTTATAAGCTAATCCAAACACTTTTTACAAAAATCCGTTTTGATACCACATAAGTTAAAAAGCACTTTTACAAAAAAAAACATAAATTGTTTTAAATAAACAATCCCAAACACCCCCTTAACATGATACATAATTTTTTTTGTAATATCAACCAAATATAATTGGTAATATTTTTCGATTATTATTATTATTATATATATATATATATATGTATGTATATATATATATATATATATATATATATATNATATGTATGTATATATATATATATATATATATATATATATATATGTATGTATGAAGTTAGACAACACATGCAATGTTTAAACAAGGATTAAAACTTGGAAAGGAGATGTATTTGTCTCCAAATGCCTAAGAAGCAAAAAGGGCATAATCATAATTTCCTCATAACGAACGCAACAATACCCAGTTGTTACAACCAATGCCAACTCTACTCTAACCAAAATCCACTTAAGAACAAAATACAAATCAACAAACTATACTACACAACACAAATTACCAAAAATACCCCCCTACTTAGACAAAAATTTCCCCAACTAAACCAATCAATAGTCTTTTAATCCCTCATCCTCCAGCTCCTCTGCCTTCTTCAAGCAGTAGCAGGAACTCTTGGTGCCATATTCTTGGCTGTTCCATTCACACCCATTCCCCGGTTCATACGCTCCCTCTGATATCCATCACCACCGCCACCGCCACGGTTTGCTGGTGCTCCTCCACGCCCCCCACCTCTGTTGCCGCCATAATCATTCCTTCCACCACCAAAATCACCGCCTCGGTTGTACCCTCTACCACCACCGTAGTTTCCACGACCACCCCTCATTCCCTCGTTCCTGAATCCAGACCCCCTTCCAATCGGAAATCTTCCCCGCGTTCCTCCTATACAGTAAACACAACATAAATCAACACTATTAACCAGTTTTACTGTTTAACATGCTTTTAGTTTCTCAACGACTACGTAATCGCATCATGTGATTCGCTCAATATCATTGAACTTAGAACACTTGTATTTAGGAAATCTTGCCTTTAGAGTTTGTAGACCGCTTCTCCTCAACAACAGCACTACGTCCACCGACTAAAACTGGCGAAGCCTAATAAATCATAACATACATATCAATAACCCATGACAAAAACCAGCAAATAATAGCAACTTCACAGATTTAAAAAAGATTAAAAATCAAGCATACTCCACATACATACCTCATCAATGGTGACCCGAAGCTCGATCAGGCTAAACTTTAGGGCCAGGCACAGCCCAAAAAAGCCTGGTCGAGCCCTTTTCAACCCCAAAGCCGGGACCATTTCTGCTCACTGAAAACCAGTTTGAAAGACCCAAGCCCAGGCCCAAAAAAGACTGGGCCTTGTGCATCTTAGGGCCCATTTGTTAGCAGCTTAATGGGACTCCGCTTATTTGGTCAGCTATACATGACTGTTTAGTAGTGGTTTAATGATATAGAAAATGACTTATTCAATAAGATTCTAGGGGGAAGCTTTATGCAGAAAGTCAAGTTTTTTTCCAAACCTGTTCATCCCAATAAAAAAACACACTCCTTCGATCTATGAAGAAAACCCTCCCAACAAAAACATTAACAATCTATACAGACAGCGGCTTTATTCATACAGGACTTGATGGAAAACCAACCAAACAGCCTCTAAGTGTCTATTTCCAATTCTACCCTTAATTAATTCATTAGTCCCTCTAATCTTAAGGGTAAGATTTTCACTTGGTAAAAGGTGCAACGGTTGCACATTTCTGAAACTATGTGCTTTATTCATTAAAGCATGCAATTATCAATCAAAAAATCCTACCAGAAACATCAAGGAGACCATTGTATCAAAAGAGAAGCATTTCGTTGCAATTGAACAAGTAGGCAATAGCAACAATACATGTACACTTTTTAATTAAGGAAAGCATCCAATAGATAAATCATCTTTTAACATTCTCTCTACTAAAAATTATGAACAGGAACACATGTATACAACTGATACATACCTCAATCGCCTTTTGAACTGCATCAGGCACCTCAAATTCAACAAAGCCAAAACAAAATCCCTGTTGCTGCCATATGAGTTTCGTGAAAGTTAAAACTTAAACAACAAAAGCGTAAGTAAGGTGCCTTAGTACAAGTGGCTACGTACCCTGTTGCTTCGAACTTGAATGCCATTAGGCTTAATAGGTCCAAACTTCTTGAACTCATCCTCCAACAATGCAGGTGTAGCAGTCATAGGAAGACCCTTGATGTAGATGGAATAGCCATCAGCTGTCCAACACAAGATAGACCACAAATATTATTTTTTTCAAAACATGCACAAAAAGAAAAACATAACCACATCACAGCCACCATTAAAAAAATTACCAGATATGCAGAAAAACTTCAAAAAAGGTGTTAGTATGCAAAAGCATAAATATGATTTCAATAAATGTAAGCATACCTTCTTCCTCGTTAATACCATTTTCGACAGCATCCACATTAGAAGCTACCACCTCAGTGGCTGAGGCAATTGGTTGGGCATTGTTTACCTGCTGCTCTTGGTTCCTTGGTTGAGGTTTCCTTGGGCCGGGGGCTGGAGACGAAAAAGGCACATCATTCTGCTTCAGGTCCATTACCTTCAACAACAATTAAAAATATCACAAATGACAGTATAGGAGAGCCATTACTCTTAACAATCTTGATCTCTTGGCAGCAAAGCATGAAGAATGCCATTCCATGTGAATGAGTTTGGTACACATGCAGGACGGGACGGGACAGAACAGGATGGGAGAGCGAGGTAGCCGGGTGAAAGAACTTTGGAAGGTTTTAGAGTTATAATTTGACATGGGAAGTTGTCTCCCTGATTTTTGTTGAACCTATTTTAATCTGATCCGGTCATGTCCCAGTCTAATGTCGCGCCAAGCATGGGACAACAAGTTTTTTGTATTGTTCTGTCCTGTCTAGTCCCGCATACCAGACACACGCCAAAGGATATAAGACCGCCAATAAACTTGACACACATGTACCATTAAAGGAAAATATACTCGGGTATACGATCATAATTTATCTGGATATAGTTTATATGCATCTTCTTGTCAAAAGTGAGGGTAGAATGTGTTTGTAGATCGACATTGCTACAAAAATCAAGTCAGATTCTAAATAACAAAGGACTTGCTCAATAGAAAGCACTCACAATAGAAGCATATGACTTTTTTGGCACTTCCTCAATTTTAGTGTTAGACTCAACAACAAGCTGTGATGCCTCCTGCACTTCATCAACAACTTCAGGCACTGGCTCTTCCTCCTCCACAACAGCCACTTCCACATCCTCCGGAGGATTGAACACTTCCTCTTGAGGTTCGTCTGCCGGTACAGGAGCTTGATCAGGAATATGATTCTCTTGCACAGAAGCACTTTTGGGGACTGCAGATAAGAAGGCTTCAGTAGGTATATCACAAACACTCAAATACACATCAGAAGAAATTTAAAAGATCAATATCAGCTATATATGAATGATTTTAGTAACCTTGCTCAGGAATGATGGGAGCCTCAACATCCTCAGCAGGAGCACTGTTTGCTTCATTATGATTAGCATTCTCCATGTAGCGGAACATATCATTCAACACGTAGAAGCCTTTGTCTTGTGGTGCAAGAAAGAATGATTGTGTAAAATTTCGGAGAACATTATCCTTTCCAGTCAAGTACCCAGTGACAAGAACATTGACTCCACCATTTAAAGACTCCTGTGCATCTACAGATTTAATCTCCGCTCTCAACTCGTCATAGTTAAGCGATAGTATTTTACTATTGATGGCCTGCACACCCAAGAAAACCAATATCAGAACCAGATCACAAGTTACGTACACCATAACACTGCTTAACTAATGTCTTTAGAGTTAAATCATATATTGTCGAGGGAAGGTGACTGAAAACAAAAACTAAACTCCCTGAATTTGACATGTTTATACTTCTTACTATGCATGAATGTACAAAGTTGAACCAAGATGTACAGTTACTTTTGAGAAAACCAACCAGGTACCCAACATACATCAAATATTTAAAAAGGGTTTGCTCCTACAGTTTATCAATTACTTCATGGAGCTTAAACCACAGCAATGTTTGAAAATCCCCGCTTGGTGATGGTTAAGCTGCTGTCTAGGTGTTGAGTTCCTAAGCACCACCCAACTACTTTGATTAGCTAGGGCCGCTTAATAAGCAGCCTAAGTGATGAGTTCCTAAGCACCACCCAGCTACTTTGATTAATCAAGGCCCCTTAATCAGCAGCCTCAGTGTTATGCATCCCCCACTACTTCAATCAGAAACCAATTGTTAAATTATGCAATTCAAATTAAAAGGCAGAGATTAATTGGTCTTCTAAAATTGAGTTCAGCTGTCTGCTTCTCCCAACTACGAGGTACTCTTTCCAATTGTTTGATTCAAATACATATTAATAACTATATTTTATATATTTAAGTGAACCACTTATACAGCGACTTAATCCCCACATAGACAACTATGTGTTAAAAGATCATGTTACCCCCTAGCTCCAGTTAACACTTTATAGAACAATGACACTTAAGTTTTTCTTTTCAAAATTCGGCATATCATCCTTTTTGGTCTCAAGTTCATCATTTCAATTTATTTTCCCTTTTTCAAATTCTTCAAACTTTGTGGGTAATCTTATTCTCACACTTTTCACAATCCAAGGGTCTTCACAGAAATAGACATTCTACCCCAAGGGTAAGAAGGTAGGCATGCATACATCCCCCTGGACCCATCTTCAAGTGGGATATATTGGTCTTGTTGGCTTGGTTTATACAAAATTAGTGGTAAGCTTTGAATCTTTATAACTCAATAAAAAAACAAAAAGAAAATATAAAACCTACCTTGCCACTAAAAACGATCAACCTAGAAAATCATACCAAGAAACAATACATGTCATATATGCAAATAAAAAAGAGGGATACAGGCCATACATCCATGGTAGTGGTTATGCTCATGGAACCATCCTCCTCAGGGCGTCCAAGTTTACTGATATCCTGGTAGAATCGATGAACTAAACCAGGAGACTGGTGTAGTATATGATAATATTGCTTAACAAAAGCATTGCCAACCTATTTATCATCAAGACATTCAAAGTAATCAATGATATTGCAAACATTACAACAATATGGATACAGGATAAGGTAGTTTTAGATCTCAAACTCATACAAAAAGTTAAAGAAATTTGAAAGTTTAAAAACAAAACTGCTGTGCGTTAACAAGCAGGGTGCACCAAAGACAAAGGTTAGCAACTAGGTGCAATGCAAGGTGTGCACCTCAATAAAATGAGGCAAGAGACACGTGGATTGCACAGAGGTTTCAAAACAGTTGCATATGTATGTAGTTAAAAAAGTATTATAAGATGGAAATAGGCATGCCTAGTTTAAAAAAAATATGAATTTATTTCCAGTTACATGAGTTAATGTCAAGAACAAGAACCTGTATATATATATATATAGCAATTCACTTAAAGATTCATCACTTAACAATGATATACCATCAATCAAACACCAAACATGGTTAACCATCCATGTTCCGTTAACATTGAAATTATCAGCATAAGCAGTTGACCCGTAAAGAAAAAATCAATAAGAGAATCATCAAATAACATTATTCATAATAGCACCGATATTCGATTAACCTTCAGCCCATAAACATGATCACCAAATAGAAGAGAGAAAACAAAGAAAGAGAGAAGTCTTAATGTGACTATTCAATGTTGACATTTAAACCAATAAGGTCTAATAGTAGTAAACATTTTTTGATTGATTAGACATGGGATGATATGAACTCTTCACATTGCTTCAATGAATCACTAGCCTCTTTTGGGCACACCAATTAAAAAAAGACGGTATGATGTATATTTAAAGACCAAACTCACGCGGGAATACAAAACCAAAAAGTTAGGCAAAAAGATCCACAGATTTCAGTTGTTTTCCCCGGAATACTAGTAGATTTGGCACACACATTCCAAACAAAAACAGAGTGATCAATACCATTTAAAGCTATAAATTATACGGCCGCCATAAACTAGTCGAAGCTTTTCAAATTTATTCACATACAACAAAATCACCAAAACATCATACGCAATCTGCAAAAGTTACGAAACCGAAACATACAACTTGAGCCGGGACAGGTTGCTGCGGTGCCGCTGCCGGAGCCGCCATTCTAGATAGTATCAAAACCCTAACAAAAGCACCACAAGCGACTAGTCATTACATATATAAAGAACAAAAGAACACTACACGGGAAGAGAAATCAAATCAAAAACAACAAATCTAATAAAGACTGCATATCCTACGAATATGTATGGATACATATATATATATATATGTATATATATATATATATATGAAGAGAAAGAGAGCGATCGATTGGAGCGAGTATAAGTGAAAGTGTACCTGGTTTTCGTTGGGAAACGATGCGAAATGAGGAAAACGATTGAGAACGAGAGAATCTCTGATCCCTTTCTTCGTTTCTGTGTGGGTGGGTTGTTAGGGTTTGCTGTATGTTGTTCACGGATCTTGGAGAGGCGAAGGCGAGAGCGAATACGTACAGGGGTAAAGGGGAAATATGCGAAAGGGTTTCCAGGTCCTTATATACTACGGAGGAGGGCCTCGTTTTTTTTTCCTTTTTCTTCCATGGATTTCGGTTAATTCGGATTCGGGTCAAGCTACATACTTCACCGGTACGATTAAAAGGTTAAATTAGACACGGTTTAAATTATTTTTTTATTATAATTTATATTATATTATAAAATATTTGCCAAAAACTCTTAAAAATTATTTTTTATACATAAAATATTGTTTATTAATGCTTATTACTTAAAACTCAAGATTACAAGTAGATTGTACGTAAGTACAACTTATTAAAGCTCCACATCTGAATTCGTGTGACTAACTGCAGATAAACATAATCAAATTCAGGATAAACATCTCATTTTAAATACAATTAATCTAAAATATAATTAGGATAATCATTGATATCTAACAGAATACTTAATTATTATCTTTATAAAATGTTATATTATTAAACAAAAAATAAATTATT